AATTCTGTCTGAGCTGTTTTTAGCTATTTATTATATTCTTTGAATGTCAGAGGTGATTTACTGTGCTGAAGGCTGCCGTGCACAATTGCCAGGCTCAGCGCAGATCTGCAGGGTGGTCGCAGAGTGCTGTCAGGTCTTTTCGGTCTGCTTTTCTGCACACCGTGTCCTGGTTTAACTTACGTTGTTTATTGTATGGAATAAAGTCATGTTATGAAAAGACTAACCTCAGGGAGCTGTTCCTTATGCTCAGTTGTTTTTGATTACTAGTATCTTGCATAATACTGGTAAAGGCTAGCTCCTGTCTGAATAGAATTTATGGCTACCAGTAACAGTTCTGAAGAGGCACAGGTAGTAACTAAGACACGTGGTTGGTCCCAGCATCTATAGGCTGCACATCTTAGTCTCTGTTTAGCCTCTCCTCGGTTTTCTGTCATCAGGATTAGTGTTGCCTCTCGTTCCCTCTCCTTAACTACTACTTCTAAACTGTTGAACAGTTGTTGGGATTCCATTGCAGGCAGATCTGTGCCTTTCTCCTGAAATTTTCAGTGGTTCATCCACAGTGTGCCTGGTTGTGTCACCTTTAGGGTTACCTTCTGTCTAGAGATATTTGCAAACAAATCTATTGTTATTCCCAGACTTTTTCTCCAGGCAATCAGGTAAATGATCAGGAAGAACAAACGTTTAAAATGAACAAACAAAGCTCACAGTGTTTTTCTAAGCAACAAACTGTGTTTTGTCCAGTATTTCTTAATAGGATGCTACTAGCCTGTGGCTCGGAAAGGTGTAGAATATCCTATAGAAAAGCATGAGAGAGTAAATAACTGCTTCTCCCTCTTCTCTCTCCCCCCCCTTTTTTTTTTTTTTTTTTTGGAATTTCAAGAAAATCATAAAATCAGAGTTCCTTTGATTGCACTAGCAGTCTCCTGTTCCAAGCTGTTGTTCAAAGCAGCATTTTCAAAATCAGAAGTTAGATCAAATTTACATTAGGTTATTCTGGGTCACATCCACGTGACTTCTGAATATTTTCAAGCATCTGACATTAGTCTGATAGTAAACAAAAGACCTTTCCTGTGGATGTTTTTTAGTATTTCTTTATTCCTCCAACTATTTTTTTTGCCATTTCCCGTGATGCTGCGCTGCCTCTCTCTGGGGGTTGATGCATGTGTTTTCTCAGGCCCAGTGTGCAGGACAGAGCACACAGCAACTGTAAAGATCAATTTTCTGTTTCACTGTTAATTATGGATCTCACATTTCTTTCTGGACAGGATTATGACTTCCTGTACGAAGCCGGCGTTACCAACGTGTTTGGTCCGGGGACCCGCATTCCAAAAGCAGCTGTCCAAGTGCTGGATGATATTGAGAAGTGCCTGGAGAAGAGGCAGCAGTCTGTGTAATGCCAAAACCTAACACAACTCAGCCAGCCTTATATTAATCACTTACAGGATGTAATCATCAGCAAGGGATGGCCAGACACATACCTTTGGTTTCGCTGCCCTCTGGCCTGGTGTTTTGTGCTTTCTAAGAAAGTTGTAAATTCTCTGCTTGTTGTGTTTGAGGATTATTTATATATTTACGCACAAGATAATTTTATCTCTAGAACTACAAATTCAAAGAATTAATGAAGTTCACTGGGTGGGGATTTTTTTTGTTTGTTTTGTTTTTCTTTTCTTTTTATTTTTCCCTGATATATTGATAAATAAAATACATGTTCTAGCCCTTTGGTTGGTCTCTTGCATTCAGATAACTTCTTTTGAATTTTTAGACTCATGCATTTGGCAGGCATTGCAGTCTTCAGGCAAAATCACTAAAGTTCAGAAGAGATGTGATTGAATCAAGCAGCACTTTGATGTTAATGCTAATCTGACTTAACACACTTCAGAAATGTATTAGTAGATAAGCCATATTTTTTCTAAGTTCGTTGTTTGTTTAATAAGACACAAACCCTGTATCTGGCCATAACTCATATAATGTTCAACACCATCATACTTTTTTTCAAAAGGAGATTTTCTGCAGGTGGCAGGAAATTGCAGATCAGATCAATAGCACTGTATCTTCACTTCAGAGATCGCAATTGATGAGATCTTTACTTAAAGCAAACTTGTTTAATGGGGCACATATGCCCATAGTCTCACACTGCTCAGAAACAAAGAGGTTAATTGATCTGCTGTTTTCATTGTCTTTCTGATTAGGTTAAAAGTATTAATCTATTAATCTACTAAAAAAGTAGTATCTTTCTGATAAGGTTAAAAGTATTGATCCCAAACCAGACTTTAGGCTTTAAAATTCCATGGAGATTCATTCTCAACTATTTATAAGTATCTGATTCCCTCCAGGAAAGACTGTTGTGGTTCAAGCCAAGATATACAGAAAGTGACAATGGAACTACTCCCTAATGTCTTTGCACTAGCATTCTTGCCTGCCAACTGGAAAATTGAATTGCTGCAATGTTGGTGACCCCTAAATGTTATGACACTGGTTTCATTCATTTCTTCTGGCTGAGGGTTTCTCTGCTCTTTGGTAATGTATGTCATCTACCTGTGTTTGCCTTACAGAATCCTTGTTTTTTGTTTTGTTTTGTTTTGTGTGTGTGTGTTTTTTTGTTTTGTTTTGTTTTTTACACTCTAACAATTGTGAAAATCTGCATCTTGTTCTCTTTGAGATCAATAAAAAATTCCCACCAACTTCAATCGGAATTATGCCAGGCCTTTAATGCTGGCAGGAGGGCCCTTTAAAGCTCTACATTAGGAGCTGGTAACATTCATTGATTGTCTCGTGTCATATCAAGGTTGGAAAACAAAATTCTGAGTCTAGGGAAGCAACGGTCTTCTTACCTTATGTGCAGTATTAGGCCCTTTAAGGAAGGAAAATATTTAGGTGAACAGAGTTCCCTTGGAGTTAGTCATCAGTTCGCTGCCTAAGCAGAGATTTCTTAGGGGATGACAAGCTAAGATGGAACATGCTTTTCCCATATGTTCCCTGCTGCTGGGGCAGCACAGCGCTCACTGCTGACAAGATAATGTCAGGTTGTCAGCCCTCGTTGCTGATGGTGAATGGTTACCAACTACCGTCTCACGCTGCACTCACTCAGCAACTCGGCTGCTTTAAAAATGCAGCAGTGTTCAAGCTAATGAAAAAATGGGGTAGTGCAGAATTAAGTAGGTATTCTGTAGATACACTGAAACATTTTATTTCAGAAGGAGTATTTGGGGCATATTTCAGGGCAAAATGATAACAGAGAACTGTCTGACTAAACGCTCAGCTTCCCAGTAGGAATGAGCAAAATGGCAGCATGTTGCTGCATAATTAACTTCCTTTAGGAAGTTTCAAAATAGTCAATTTTTTGTATATGTAAGGTGGTTTCTGTTTTGCAAAGATACAAGAAACATGGACAGGAGCATGGCGTGGAGACATCCTATCTATACTAGCTTTTCTTTCTCCTGACTGTCTTTTACAGTAAAACGTGATGACTGACTGAGATGTGGATGTCCCCATTGTACGATTCTGCAGTTTGGTGAGGTAATTCCTAGTGTCTGAGTGGGTTTTTACCTTAAATGTTTGTATCAGGGGATGACTGCACTGGTGATGGCAAGCATTTGTGGCCCCGATTTGCTCCTGGGTGAACACATGCATTCTGCTTCAGCGTTGTACAAGATCACTTGGCAGCACAGTCCAGGGCTGGGTAGAAAATACCATGAAATGAGAGTTATGATTAGACTGTAATTTAACTTCATGAGACTTATGAAAAAAAAATTAATCCCCTGGGCTTAATGTACTTGCTTTCCCAGTGCCCTGGTCCAAGGGCAGCCCTGCTCTTAGAATTGTTTCTCTGTAACATAAAGCTATCTGCAATACAACGTCTCTCTAATGGATGTTTCAATTTCCTTCTCACTGAGTCTAGAAAAGGAAAAAGAGATTTGCACCATGATACCTCGACTAGGATTTCTAAAAAAAAAAACAAAACTAAGTACATAAATAACTAATGAGGCTATTAAAGCATTATACTTGAACAATATACTGATCTTTTGGCTTTACAAAGTTTTTGTCTGTGTGAAGGGGCATGTTGTTCACATCACATACACTTTAAAAGCATTTGCAAGCAGATGCAGACCTGTACTGCTCCCAAATTTTTCACAGAGGCAGCTCACATCTCACTACATTATTAATGTGCAGGCCATTGTTCCTTTCACAGATCTGCAGCTACCAGCCGGGGATACACACTTTGCTGTTTATTTTAAACACAAGCAACTGAGCAAGTGAAAGCAAAAACTTTGAGGTGGAAGACGATAATTAAAATACAGTTTCATTTTTTCCTAACAAATTACATTTTAAAGCTGAAAAAAAAATGCTGATAATTGACATTTACCATAACAAATCTGTTTCCAGCATGTTCACTGTTTCTCCACCCTTGAACACACTCCTATAAACCCTCTTTGGTTTTTTGCTCCTGTCCCTTTTGTGATTCCTTCTGCCATTGCTCTCCCCCAGCTCACTTGCAGAACACTCCCCTGCCTCTTCTCTTCTGTGTTATTTTGCTTCAGCTTTCACATGCTCCCATCCCAGTTACTGGTGTACCCCACATCCCTCCTCCCTTGTTCTTTTTTCCTTACACAGTCCCACCACGGACCATTGGACTTGGCTGTTTCCCAGAGGATGCTTCGCCCCATCACGATGGCGACAGCAGGAGCCGGCAGCACAAGTATGAGCACAGTCTCATTCCCTACAGAGCATGTGAGTGACAACCCAGGACGAGATAACATCACCCTGGAGGCCACTTCAGTTTAGGAATTGTTCACAACTTTTTACAAATAAACCTAGCTTAATTTAGGAGAATATTTATGAGAGTTGGCAACACTGCCAGTAGCTGGAGTTCAGAGGAATGCGAGCTCCTTAAGGTTTCCAACCCCCCAGCTTAGTTGTGGAAGTGCTTAACCCTATTTTTTAATCCTGTTCTTGGCCTTAACTGAAGCTTATAAAATGAAACTTATTATTAGGGTTTGATCACGGTGGAAGCTATTTAAGAACTCTTAATTTCTTGTTTAAATTCATGCTTAGAAGAATAAAAATTCCTTGTTTAATTTCTTGTTTAAAGTGTTTCTGTGCCAAATCTGCCTTTGATTTAACTTTTTGCCTTCACCAAACTCATGGCAAAGGGAGATGCAGCCAGCTGAGCAAGCAGCTGGGCTGCCATTACCGAGTGCACAATTCCCTTTGCTAAGACATTCCTTCACCTCTCATCATACTGTTTGGGGTGTACAGAAGGCTCTCTATCTTTGTTGGCTGCCACATTCCCACCCAACCTCTGCAGACCAAGGCTATTTCGAATATTTTGAGCTTACAAAACTGGAACTGAGGAACTTGGTCTGGTGGGACATGCCCCTACCCATGGCAGGGAATTAGGTGATCTTTAAGGTCCCTTCCAACCCAAACCATTCAGTGAGTCTGGGATTTGAAATATACCTCCGAGGGAGCAAGGGACTGTTGATCACTCTAAGATGTTTTGACACCAACCACTTCATCATCTTTTCCTGGCTGTATTTCTTCTACCCGTATGGTTTTCTGCCTGCGTTCCTGGAAAGCTACATTCTCAGCTGTATTTATTTGGTAACGCTTTGCGTTCAACCTAGAGTTTTCTCTGATGGCTGTTTTACTGACAGAGCCAAGAGTTTCAGGATAGATTGCATTAAAAAGTCAAAAGCATGAGAAAAAAAATATGAAAATAATAAATCCTCTTTTAATTATAGCTGTTTCCCTGAAAATAAGTGCGACCAAAGCTGATTATGGTCTTGTTTAGTACCTAAATCTATCTATTTCCTCTAGAGTGGCAATTCTTGAAAAAATAGCATTTTCTTTTTGTTGCTGTTGTGTACCTTAAAAATAGTAATTGGGAGCTGTTTAAAAATATATACTCAAACCTCCGTATTTGACATAAGAGAAACCAGTGACAACCCCACGTTCTGCATTCCTTCTTATTTGCACCCAGGAGTGCAGCAAACTCTTGGCCTCTGTTCTGAAGCACGGCGGCATTTCAGTGAGCTGCAGCTCCCTGGTTCTCCACCTTTGCGGTGGAAGAGAGACGCACGTTGTCCCTCCCGCTCCACATCATCGAGACAGGATTTTCAGCGGAGGTGTCGGTGCTGAAGAAGTGCAGCCGCCAGCCCCAGCAGCACTGCAGCTGTTTGATTTCGCGGCGGAAAGTTTTGCTGAAGATGTAGTAGATGAAAGGGTTGTAGGCGGTTGAAGATTTGGCAAACAGGCACGGCAGCAGGGTGACGATGGGCTGCAGGGAATTGCTGGAGTTAAAGATGGACCAGAAGCTGGCTGCTGCGTACGGTGTCCACGAGCTCAGGAACCCAACCGAGATGAGCACAGCCATCTGCAAGGGAAATACAGCTTCAGTTCCCAGCTGGTAAAAACCAGGCACGTAGTGGAAGAAACCACGCCTGCCCCAGATGAAATACCTGAAACAGCTGTGACGTGAGCCCACGTGACACAGGGCAGTGTGTATATTCCTTTATTCCCACCTAGCAGATACACACCGTGGGATTCCTGCCTGGCAGGGAGTTGTTCTCACCTCCTGACTCTACCTGAAGTTTGTCATGGGGGAAGGAGCCCGAGCAGAAAGCACAGCCTATCGACTCACTGGCCTCTGGAGTCAATTTTGCTCTTCCATGGGAAATGAGCAACCGAAGTGCTTATTGAAAAATAATATATTAAATCAAACAAACAAAAAACCTGTTTCCATAGGAAATTTCTATGTAGCCCTCACTCTGAATAACCTCTCAGTCAATTAAAAATAGCTAGAAAGACAGGACAAGACATCCACCCCAACTGCAGCATGCATGGATCCAACAGCTATTCCAGCAGGACTGGAAATCTGTGTGTCCAAAAAAATCATGGGTCTGTCTAAAGAATCAAACCACTGAACTGACGGTGTGTGGGCAAGACTGGAGCCACATCTCCATCTTTTTCACTAATACCAGACAAGTGTAATGAAGGGTTATGAGCAGACCAGGTATGAGCAGAGCCTCTGCAGGCTCTTGATTACTTCAGACTCGTCTCATCACCAGGATAACTCACCAGTGTCAGCTTCTTCTCCAGTTTCGCTGCGTTGGGGATCCTGTCGATGTTCTGGATCTCTTGGTATGCCTTATGAACCTTCCAGGCAATTCCCAAGTAGCAGGCGACGATGGTCAGTGCAGGCAGGACTGTGCACAGGAGGAACATGCTCAGGATGAAGGAGAAGCCGTTGGAGGAGTTGTGGAATTTGCTCCAGGCTATTGTACAGGAGATGCCAAATGGCTCGGGGCCGTAGTAGCCCCAGCCTACCAAGGGCAGAATGGCCCAGAGCAAGGAGTAGAGCCAGATGAAAGCGATCAGGATGCGGACAGTGTTCTTGGTGATTTTGTTACCTGCAAGAAAGAGGAAGAATAAGTCTATACGGTTCTCACCTCAGCCGTGTGGGTTTTGCCACAAGGTCTCCATCAGAAGGACGCTCACTATAGATCTGCCTGGGCTGCTGCTGCAATTCCCTAGTGGGTTTTCTTGAGAAATCAAACAGGCAGAGTCCATGGGTTGGGTGAGACACGAGTGCAGCCCTCAGAGCTGATTTAAAGTTTGCTAAGTCAGGCAGCTTTACAAGATCAAGCTGACCCAAAATGTACCATGATCCCAAACCAGGAATGCCAGAACACTCCTTCCTCTCAACTTTCAGTACCCCTGCTTGCAGACAAATAGGCAGATAAGACAGCCTGGTCCAGTAAAACACTTGGGATCTCCACCTTTAGGTCGTTGCATTTGGTATTACTGAGAGGTGAAAAGCCTCACTGTTTAATAGGGAATTCAATCAGATCCTTCTAGGGACATTAGAGGTTTGAAACTGAAGGAAAAGTTGAGACTTATTCCTACAGGTATTGAAATGGTGCTGTGCACCATATTCAGCAAAGTGCCCCCTGAACATCCCACATGCCTCGTTAGCAGGTTACCAGAGACGTGGTTACTCACTGTTCGTTTTGGAGGAATTGGTAACAAGGAAGCGAATCACGGCCATGGCACACAGCGTCATCATGCTGCAGACGCCGAAAAGGAAGCCCATCAGGGCGTAATACATGCAGGACGCATCCCCTCCCAGCCAGGCGTGGTTCCAGGCGGATGCAATGGCCAGCGGGTACATGCTGATCGCCATCCCGACATCTGCCACTGCCAGGTTGACCGTCAGCAGCTCCGGGGACTTCAGGAGGGAGGAGCGCTTCGCTGCTGTAGCGAGGACGGCTGAGTTTCCCAGGATGGTCAGGATGGCTGAAAGGGCAAAATGAGCACACAGAATAATATCACACAGTTAGCACATCCGTGAAATGCCTGGCTGTACAGAAGATGTGGACAATGCCAGTTAGCCTGGGACTAAAGCCTAGAAGAGAGGACACACTGGGACGCTTGCCAAAATTTGTATCTTCCAAGCCAACACTGCGTTGTGCTGATGCTTTGAAAACACGCTGGTGTCTATCTGCTATGCCCTGCTATGAAACCTTGCTCTTGAGCTGAATCAATCTCGTTCTCTGAGATCAGCCTGGCAAAATTACCTGGAGGAGGTGAGGATGTACGCAGCTCGGCATCCTCAGCACAGCATCCTCTGTGCTGCTTCAGCTACCCTCAGGCTGCAGCTCCTGCCTCCCTGGCAGGCTGGCACTTCCCGGCCAGGCTGTGTTTCTGCTGCAGAGCTGCTAGAGCAGAGAGGGCTTCAGATTTCTGAATACCCCCACTTACTGCTCCTTCCTAAGGAAGCACTCCAGCCAGTGGGACTCTCACTGGTCCCCTCCTCCCATCTGGTCCCCTCCGCTTTCCCAAACTTTCCTTCTTTGCAGCCCATCTCCCACTGGAGCCCCAGCACCATCCTGCTGGGGGCTCTGAGCCACCTCACTAATCCATACGTGCTGGCCAAGCAGCTGAACATCCCTACAAGCTGCAGTTTGGACTCCCTCACTATTCTGATGGTCTCAGGGTGCAGTGAGACAAAAAACAGAAATTGTTTTGCCAGAGGCATGCGGTGGACCAGAGGCTGCTTTGCAAAGGGACCTGTTGGACATGCATTATTCAGATGTGCCGCAGGGCTTCAAAGCATTCATGACAACTGTGTCAAAAGTCCACGCAGCAAACAACTCATTTTCCTTCGAGAGAGCACAGCATGGAGCTCTGCTTTGATCAAAAGTTTTCCTGAGAAGGTGTCCTCTAAAGTCAGAAGGGAAATAAGGAAACAGAAACAGACTCTGGCGTGCTCCCTCGCAGCTGGGGGAGCAGGAAGGCTGCATTTACTCATGCAAAATACACAAATGAAGTGCTCACAGAGGAATGAATCAAGGGGCGTGCAGCAGAACAGAATAAATGCATTAGCATAAATCCACAAGTGGGCACAGATGTCAGGAGAAAGACTTAAACAGCACAGAGGGACCAATCTGAGACCCAAACTCCTTCCTTCCTTCATCCTCTTGCTAACCCCACTGCTCACTCAACCCCTCTGGCTAGTCCTGCAGAATTCCCCAGGGAGCCCCGGGATGCCTGCAGTGGCTGGGCATGGAAGGACTTGCTGGCAGAGCAACCTGTGGTGGGAAGGACATCCCCACCTCTGGGAGGAAAATGAGCACAGGTCACACCTGGGAGAGCTCTAAGCACTACGCACGAGGGAGGAAGTCGCCCTTCCTCTTACCATCAGGTGTAAGCTTCCAGCCCCCAGCCCCTACTTGAGCTGCATCTACACATTTCCTTCTCTGTAAGAAAGCAGCTGACACCCCGACTTGGAGTAAAACAACTTCATTTCATTGTTTTGCAGGTATTAATTTGTCTCACGCTGAGTTCCCCTCTGCTGTCAGCACGATGGAGGGGACAGCACAGTGCAGGGCAGTGCATGGAGAAGCATGCAAGAGCAGGGGTGAGGTGTGAAATCCTAAAGCCAGCACTGCTGCCTTTCTGTTAATTCACATAAAAAATTATATATATATGCTGGTCTTTCTTGAATGTATCCCAGGCAGAGTTTTCAAACGAGCTGAAGCGGGGCAGGTGCTCACATCTCGGCACAATTCAGTTGCACTGCATGCCTGAAGCAAGTCAGCTCCTCTCCAAAGCTACAGCCACAGCACTCACATCACCTGGGTACATGCAGCAAACAGGCAAGAAGGAAAATGCTCAACCAAAGCCTCGCTAGAGCTGGCTGGTACATAGCTCCGATATTTGGAAACTCTTCGCTGTTTTATGCCAGTTTATCCTACCACGACACAGGTGCTTCCTGCATAATGACAAGCCTCCCCCTACAAGGGTCACAACAGAGTTGCTCTCCCTGATCTCAGAAACAGCCCCATCTCTCCATTCCCAGGCTGAGATGCTAACGTAAGGGGCAGGTGACTTATTTTGACTGCCCCTGGAGACAAACCTGTGCTGGCAAGTCTTCAGCATCACAACAAGGGATTGCAAGGCTGAGAGCAGAGCTCGATCCAACTGGCAGGCGCTAAGCAGGGGAAGATGTGGGGACAGATTTTCCATCATTTCCCTCCAGCTTTCCCCGGAGCACCCCATGCTGACTGCTGCATGGATGGGGGCAGCCCCGTCCTGTCCATCCCGAGGCGCGAAGCACCCCCAAACTACAAAGGCAGAACTCACCTATGAGCAGAAGAAAGACCCCAGCTCCGTAATCCACTACTGGGTGGAGTTTGGAAATGTAGTGCTCCTCCATGGTCCCCTCTGCAAGGTGGAGGCTTCAAACAGCAGGGGAGGTGGCTGTAGGGACAAAGAGGCTTTTCCTCATGGTTTGCCTGCAGTAAGCCAGGCAGTTGGGTGCTGGCACTGCGCAGGGACCCTTCTGCTGCCTCCTCTCTCCCTTTCTGTGTGGCGGGGGAGAAGCCTGGAGTGAGAGAAAGGCTCCTTCCCTGGGGAGACGGAGGGAAGGCTGGGCACAGCCCCTGCCACAGTCCCGCCTGCCTGGCAGAGCATCTCCCCAGCCAGCCCCTCCTCTCACTCCGTTGCCTTGTCAAGCAACTTGACAATGTGAATCCCCTCGCAGGGCCATGGCTGAGCAGGAACAATTGCTGCTCGACCATCAGCAGCCCTGGGAAATAAACCCAGGCTGAAGGAAGGCCGGGAGTTTTGTTTGCCAGCTGTGTGGCTGCGCAGGGGAAAGGCAAGGTTGGGACGGGGGGATGGCTGGGTTGAATTATTAGAGGGAAGCTGTTTGCTGCAGGGCCACTGAATGAAGGATTTTCAGAGCTGCCTACAGGACAAGTGCTACAGGCTCATCTGTCCATTTAGCTGGGCAGGTCTTGATTTACAGGTCCATAGTTGCAATGCCATTACCTTGACTTTTAGCCCAGGCAGCACCCACAGCCACCACACTGAAGAGCTGATCTGCTCTAAATTATTCAATTCCCACACCTGGATATGCTAAGCTGCGTTAGCATCATGCTCTGCTTGGCCTATTTTACTGTGCTCAGACACAGGGAATTGTCAGATCCCCTTGAGCACGCAGCCATCTCATGTTTGGTCTAGGTGGAATTTAGGTGCTCAAGTACAGCAGTAGCAGCCTAACTTCTGAAGTCCCTGGGAACCTGAGAGACTTTAAACACACTGAGTTTCACCAGAAAGCAAAACTGGCCATGCACAGAAATGCTGCCCCCCTCTGTGTTTTTGCTCCCAGCTTCAGCTGTCCAGGATGCACGCACAAGGGATGCCTGCTGAAAGCTTCTGGGAGTTTAATTCAGCACCCACGAACGTGCAGCGCAAAGCATACATCACAGGACCTCGTAGCTCTCGCAGCCTTCGCAGGGTACCTTTGTCCTAAAAACTTGGCCATCCTCCCCTCAATGGAAGAATCGGTTCCCTCCTCTGGGTTCAGAGAGCTCCAAGACATCCCATCTCGGTCCAGTTGGGAGAAGCCCTGTGGAATCTGAAACCAGTAAGGTAAGTACTACAAGATGGGACAGTCCACTAGTTCTATAAAAATATGAGAGAAATGACAGAAATTGCTGGCATGAAAAATCTGATCAGGTGAGACATGCAGGTGAGCTTCCTGTTGAAACTGGACTGCCCCTCTGTGGTCTCATTCAAACTTTGGTTTTATATTTTTAATAATGATACACCTAACTCAGGACACCAAGAACCTACCCGTTTTATGTTCAATGCTGATGTCCCCCACTGGATGTTCCTTGGTGGCAGACAAGCAGCTGAATGTGGCTGTTTGCTGCAATGCTTCTCAAGCCTTGGGGGTATAAGTAAGACAGTATCAGTTTAGGTTAGGAAAGTAGGTAATATGCAATATTTATTATAAAAGGAAGTTCTCACATCAGAAAAGGCTAAAAAGAGACAGATATGATGCCTCAAAAGCATGCCTCGTAGCGTGAGTCTTAAACAGCCCAACCAAATCTGTGTAGCCTGTTCAAGAGCCAGAGGTTATCATTTGATCACAGTTTTGGGAAGAAACCTCTGGCAGACTCAGCAAAAGGCACAAAAAGCAGAAGATATCTGCATCCAGTCAATTAATTCAGCACAGGGAACATAAAATCATAACACCGGTAAATTAAACAACACCAGATCACCACAGAAGTGTGGGAATTTGATTTTTGACCTTGTTCAATTCACAGGACAGTCGCTGGCACAGTTTCAGCCTGGACCAACACTGTGCCAAGTCCTTCCAAGGCACAGGTCGGCTAAAACTGGCCCAGGAGCATTCCTAACAAGAAGCAGGGGCACTGGTTTTGAAGACAACATGAATTTAATAATGGGGATGTGGCCAGATTGTGCCACTTGTTGCCACAGTCAGAGTCTTATTGGCCTTGTTTAGTTCCCTGGTACAGAACTTGCACATGGGTCCTGCTCTTATCCTGGGTGAAAATGTTTAGCTGAGAAATAACAGATTCACCAGGGGCAGTCATTCGAAGAGATGTGACTTTTAAAGGATTATTAGTGCTCATATTCTGCTTATAATTCTGATAAAGAACATTCTTGGGAATGTTTCCTTGCCTGTGCTGTATGGTCAGCTCACCTAGTGTTTCTTTTTGTCCTTTCTTGGCAAAAACAAGGCTGAGGGCTCAGCTCAGGGAGCCTGATGTCACCCAAACCAAGCCAGATCTCCTGCTTTCCCACTCACTGCATGGTCCATCCTCTCACTACTGAAATAAAACATCAAATGGCTTCAGGCAAGCAAAGAGAAACCAGAGGCAGAATTAAAACATTTTGTTGAGAATTGAATTTGTCCCTGGGGACCCCATTGGCTGCATCAGGAGCGTAATCCTCTTCCAGCTTTTGTGGACACCTTAGATTACACTGTGTGGATATTTCATGCTGGTTAGATGGCATTTCATTTATTGTGAAACCCTGAACTTAGCATTCACATGGGGTAGGATTACATCAACAGTTCGGTTATGAAATGGATAAAAGAAAATAAATGATTAAAACCAGAAGAGTCGACTGATCCTGAACCCAATGCATTATTCATGTGTCACTTAACAATAGCAAGTTGTACACAGCATATTATCTTTCTGCACTTCAGATCAATCCAGATTATCTGTTTACAACTAAAGCACAGTCAAAGATTACACATCTTGACAGACCCAATTTGGGGAGACCGTATTTTAGAATTATTTTGTGAAATTTCCCTTCAATTTAAGTACCCTTTAATCTAGACAGATGGAAGAATGAAGTCAATACCTACTCATTTCTGAAAGGTCTTGTGACACTTTGAAAAAAAATGAATTAATCATGAAACCATATATACATATTTGATGTAAATATATACATATATATATATATATATATATAATGAGTCCTTATTGTCAATGTAAAATAGGGCACAGGTTGACTACTTGATGCTACCAAGTTAAAATGTCCTACAACTCTATTTTTCTTCTTCACAAGGAAAAAAAAAATAATAAAAAGAGTATTCTGATGGCCTGAAAGTCTCTGGATTTGTAGGAGCAGGGGAATTATTCTGAATTATCAGTTTACCAGGAGTAGCTCATTTTTCAGAGATAAAATGTCTCAAGGTTTGGAGATGTGTGGGTCAAGAATATTGGGGTTGGCACCAGCTATCAGTCATTGATATCTCCTGACTTCTGGCAAAGTCTGCCCATCTATGTTCGTATCTGCACAGAATTCATGCCAGGCAAGCACAGACAGGTATGGAATTGGAAAAGGAGCATGGCTTTGCTATTCCTCTTTGTCTGGCTGCTTTGGTCAGATCTTCACTTCCAGGAGACTCCTAGATTTCAAGTTGAGCAGGCTACTGCAGAGCAGTCCATTTGGGCAGCCCTTTTGGTGTGCCCTCTCATTGGCTTCAAAACAAGTCTGCCATGATGCACACTCAGGTTTTTTCAGACTCCTTGGAGGAGACAACTCCATCACATTCTCCAGTGAATCTCAGGAATTCCTACATCTTCCTTCCATTTAACCATTAGGCTATTTCTGCAGCATTAATTTTGGAAGCTCGTCTTCTTGCTGAGATCTCTAGCTGAGCTTTCAGCTTTCACCTCCATTATGAAAACCAGAATCAGCATTTAAGCTGAACTCTTGGAGCCTACTCATGAAGTTGTATGTTTTCAACAACCAAATCTCGTCTAAGCTGGTATTTGCCACCTCAAGAATAGTAATTTGTAAATTGTTTTCTTCTGGATGTCTGCACTGACTGGCGTGTTATTGCCTGAGGAGGCATTTGCAAAGCACGAATTTGGTCTAGGGACACTAACCCCCCTCGTTTTCCTCTAGACTAACCAAAGGTAGCTGCCCCCTTGAAGAACAATTCTTTAGATCAAGTAAATTTGGCTCCTTCATTAAAACCATGTTTACGTATAATATTTGGCTGTTGGTCAACCTAGTCAAAGGGAGAATAACTCGTCACCATTAGGGTCTGACCAAAACCAACCCCCTCATTTGACACTGGAACAGAAAATGGACTCCAAACCCAAAGCCATCTTGTACACACAGAACTGAAAGATGATTTAAAGACTTTTCACATTCCTTTTATTCTTCACTTTTGAGATTTTGTTCAAAGCTACTGCTATTTTGATGTGAGAGTAAATAGCAGCTTGACACTAAATGAGTGACCAGTGATTGAGAGATGAGGAAACAAGAACTTGTACAATTTCCATGCTGATGCTAGTAAATGTATCTTGGAACTAAAGGCAGCAGCTCAGAGTGATTAAACAACAATGTCATTGTTTGCTTGTGGCTGAGAACCCCTGATACGTAGTTTGTGTTGGTGGAAAGGAGAGGACAAGGTGTGCAGCCATGAGTGAAGTTGTATGTGTGGTAAGGTTGTGTCATGTCCCTGAAAGACAAGCCAGCTTCTTCCAGCTGAGCAATAGGCCATCCTCTCAGGGATAATATGTGTGTATACACACACACACACACACATTTGTTAGTTTGTTTGTTTTTAAAAAAGGCCCAAAAATTGAAATGAAAGGCACTAATTTCAGAGGCAATGTGAAAACAAGACAAAGCAGAAACACCGCCTGACATGACAAGGGAAAGATGGTAATGAGATATGGAAAGGGTAATTGAACATTCAAATGCAAAGCATATTTTAGCTATTTCAAAGGTGTGAGAAGACAGGCCCTAATACAATGTAAGTGGGAAGGAAATGGCACCAAAGGTGCTAACATAAAAAATGAAAATTACTATTATGTCAGGAACAGAGAAGAATAAAATGCACTGCCCATTGTCTGGAATTCAACACAATGCCAACCTGCTCGTATTTAATATGCTGAGTATTCCCAGACCTCAGTTTAACAGTAGTGTGAACAGCCCTATCTTCTAATTTTTCAGGATTTCAAAGCCATATTCATGTCCTGTTTTGCTGGATATTGAGAGGACACTTCTTTCAGCTTAAGTAGTTTTTCAGCCATTAATTGAGAATAGTTTTTGTCAGTAAGCTCCTCTGAGGTGGTGCCATATATTTTCCTTTGTGTTTTGGTCCTGTACACCATTTATTCATGATTCCTTTGTGCCATCAGACCATA